AACTGTGCGTTTACTCATCCTTTGATTGGATAATTTAAGGAAAATCAAAGAATAAAAGCATCAAACTGTTACCATGAACCTGATTCAGATAAATAAATCCTTCTGCCCCAGAAGCTGTGAAGCGGATATCCTAAATCTGAAAAACAGCCGCCATTACGTTGCTGAATGCTAAAAGACCACTAATACGTCGCAGCAGCACGGACCGTACTCAAGAAAGACTAAACTGTCAGAAATGCCATAAAATCAGAACTGCGGGAATGTTCCGTTTCCTTTCCCCACGCATTAAGAACAGCTGATCAAAATAATTTTTCGTGGCGTATCCATATTTATGCTTTAGATGGTCGAATAAGTTATGGCTGAAATCTACCAGTTGTAAAATGATAACTAGAGTGTTGGGCACCCTTGTTAAAAAGTCACAGACTAAACCTGGCATAGTGACTGAATTCTAATTTTAGTGAACTTTGAGCAGGACAGAAATTATTGGTAAAGGGTGTCAAAAATGCAGAGACGCTATAAATTATCCGATAAGTCAAATCCATCATTAAAGATGAAGTGCAGAGCCAAAAATTGTTTCTGCATAAAATTAAAAAACGCAGTCCTTTGATCAAAGAAACTGACATGCTATTAGCATATGCACTAGTAAAATTACAAAATGAACATTTGGCTACCAATGATGATCTCTCAATTTGTTACTTTCCCCTGAAATTCGACGAAATCACCCACATACTGAACAAACCAAATTAGCGAACAAGCTGATGTTACCTGTCACTTCCTCCGTAATCGTAATCTCTTTGATTATGTTTTGGGCGGTCGCGCGGGTATCACTGCTGACCACCGCCTTGGCGTCAGACAGGTGCTCTTCCGCGTTACCGCTGCTAGTCCTAAACGATTCTTTCAGTGCGCATAAACAAATTTTCGACTTACGTTTTCGTGAAATCACGAATAGAATCAACAGTGGTGTCAGCTGATGGACTTTTGGAGTCGCCACCGTCAGTCGTACTATTCTCTCTGCCGCGGATCCGACTGCTGAAAAGCATTCGTGGTGAACCATCATGAGCTCGATTCACTTCCAAACTAGGACCAGTCTTACTTCCCATCATTTTCCGTTTGCTCGCGTTCATTTTCACCATTTCCTGATTGATTCAGTTCCAATGAGCAGCTTAGAGATATGCCATGATGTCCGACCGTGAACCTCTGCCACTGTGAGCCGCTCAGCAGATAAAGACCCTCGCCAGAGGCGGTTAACACGGTGCTAAAGATTCCGCTGACGTGTTGCGCAGGAATGCATGCAACGCTGAATTGTCGTCGCAAGTGACGGGTATCGTAGACCTGCAGCACACCTTGATTCGTCATCACCACCAGAAACGATTCAACAGCAGGCACGATGGCATCTGCATGACTCAAAGATGAACGGTATTTCCAAAGACGAAAACTATTACCGGATTTAGATTTACTACGCATTTCAACGTACTGCACCTTGCGGATTCGCATACCTTCCACCGCCGTCAACTTGCACTTATACTTGGCAGCTTTGAGACTCGGTAAATGGAACACCTGTAAAGAAGCTATCGTCGCAACACTACAGGAATGCGATTAAAGAATAAGGGAGGAAACCTTTATTTGTTCTTCTGAACAAATGATGACACGGTGGTGATCGGTAGATGACGCACCAACAGCTGAACTGCCTTCCGGTCGTCGTTCTCGCTGCTTCACCGATACTCCCTGCGCATCAACGACCGTCAATGACAGAACGGGGGCACAATGACGAAGACGGATCTCTTTGGCCAGAAAACAGCGGATCTCCGTTCTGAGAAGACTGGTGTTCGGCACCGAAAGCAGATACACAAATACGCAGCCACCTTGGGTACCGATCCAGATCGAACGATTAATGCAATTTCCTACAATCAGCATAGAGGTGAGGAATAACAACATGAAAAGGATATTTACAAAACTTGAACTTCGAAATTAAATTGAAACTAGTGAAAATTAAAAATAAGCTGGTTACGTCGTACAAAAATATTACTGTTCACTAATAGCTCGCACTTGAAACTTCTTTGGAATAAACAAGGTGAGACTAAAGCTGAAAATCTAGGAAATACTCATCATCCTAAATTTAGGTGGTATCACGTATGGATAATTGGTGTTAATATTAAATTTGACCTCAACTTTTTTGCATCATCATCATCTTCTTCCATCGCCGCTTCTCCTCTCGGATCGCGGAGGCAGACACGTCAGACAGAGCTTCCAACGTTCCTGTGCCAGAGTCTGAGCTTCGGCAGAAGACAAATGGAGTCTCGAACAGACTCCTTCCATATGTTTATACCAGGTTAATCTTGACCGTCCCCTGGGCCTTCTGCCGGCGGATTTGCAAGGAACAG